GTAAATAAGTGTCCGCTAAATAGTTAGTTAAGTCTTTGCTAAGATGTTAGGTTTCGCAATTATTAACTCTTACAAACGAGTTACAAATGGTTTATAACTTCAACAACAACAATAAATCATTAACAACACCGCAACCGATCCAAGCGTGGGCCTCGGGCAAACAGGCAAGCATACATGACAACCTTCACCCCAACCAGCACTCCGCACCCAACAAAGGTAACATTCTCAAACCACCAGCACCACAGCCCCCTCACAGGCGACTTAGGAACGAATGACCGACCACCGTGACAGCTCCACAGCACTCCGGGGTGGAACTACAGTGCAGGAGGGGAGAGAACTGAGAGAGTTGCAGAGAACATTTAAGCCTGGGAGCGACATGCTTTCTTTGCGCAACATGCCACGTTGTTCATGTCACAGATGCCGTGCTGAGAGTGCTGCGAACCTGAGCCGAAGCCAGTGGTAGCCGAGCACGCTGCAGCACCGCACGGCCCGAGCCTCAGCCCACTGACGTGTAGTGCCAACCGTGGTCGGGGGACGAGCAATTCTTGTCCTACTGGGGGGGCTGCTCCTTGCAGCCACTCGCATGCGACTGACGACAGCTACAGTCCGGCCTTTCTCCGACAACGGGGGAACCAGGGCCAGGCAGCCCCGCGCCTCCACCGCACAGCAGCGGGCACACTCCCATCTACGCCAAGGAGCGACAGCAGTCGGTGAGGCGGGGCAGCAGGCAGCCTGGGGATGCGGCAACCCACCCCACCTCCACAGCACCAGCGAGGCCGTTTCCCAGCCTACAACAGCGAGACCGATCCCTGGCCACAACCATACCCCGAACAGCCACAGCCAGCGTCTGAGCCACCACAACGGCAAAGAGGACCACAGCAGCATCATCCACACCCCTCACAGCGGGGGAGCTGGCAGCAATGTTTGACCTATTGGTTTAGGACAGAGACGGCAACCTCATCCTACCATCCCCAGCGGTAGGAGGGTCCCTCTCCTACCACGGCACCCAAGGACCAGGACAGCCCTCGCAAGCAACGACCCGGCGCAGCCTCCACACCCTAGTGGGGGGGGACCGACCGCCAACAGCCACGACACCACCTCCGAGTTCGCCTCAGCACCACCCCTGAAGACAGACGACATGCTACACCACCAACCTTCGGGGCATGGGCAGCCCCCGACAAACCCATTGGAGCATGGGGGGACGAAACAGACTGGGGGACAGACCCCACGGCAGCAAGTTCCACCGCACCCCACACCACTCCACCTCACCAAGCAGCGGCTTCACAACACCCACCCGCCGGGGAACACCCCGAACCCCGCAGGGCCAACCAAGGACACACACCCACACCGCCGCAGCAGGCCCACGACACCGCACCGCAGGAGCAGCAACCGCAGCCAAGCTCCTCCTCCCACGCAAGCACCGCCAATACACCACCCGGGGGGGCCGTTCTTGCCGCCGGGAGCGAAGGCCGTACCAGGCATGACGATGAGGGAGCATTACATTACCAACTCGTTACGGAAGGCGCTATTGCCCAACCTTACATCAACCGGGAGCTGGCACCACAGACAGGGGGAGGATGCAGAGGACCCGGCGGAGGACGAGGGGGAGCAACGGCAGGGGGGGCAGCCACGCCCACGCAACAGCGCCGACCGGGCAAGGGCCACAGAGCGGAAGCACGAGGGGGGAGGGGAGGCGCGTACTCGCAACAAACACATCAAATACAGGATTAAACAGTACCTTCGACGACATGGACTGATGCATACCCAGTGGGGAGGCCCCGTGCCAACACCCCAAGTGGCGGCGGCGGCAAACCAAGCTACAGCCACAAGTGGGGGAGCCTCCACGCAGCGACAAGCCGGGGGGACCACCCGAAGACGAATACACAGCAGAGCAGAAGACAGAGCCCAGTTCGGGGGGCTCCTGAACCTCCACTTAGGGACCACTGCCCACCGTACACAGCGCCCACCGCCATTTGGGGGAGCCGACACGAACCAGCAGCCCGCGAACCCACCCCACGAGCCAGAGCCGCAGCAGGGGGACTCCACCCAAGCACCACCCACACAGCATCTTCACCTTCACGCCGCAAAAGCTGCGCAACCAGGCAGAATGGTACAACCTACAGGAGGGGACATACCAGGGAGACTTGCCCCCAGAAATACAACCCTGGGAGTCCTCGGCCATTCACACCACCTTCCACACCGATACATCGGCAACACTGGCACCCACCGCCCAACGTGCAAACCGGCGGGGCCACGCAGACCTCCCACAACCCACTCTGGGACGGACGCACGCTCAGAAGTAGCAGCAGCAGCCGCACCGCGCCAACGCACACACAGCCCACGCCAGTCCTAGTGGTACGAACAAGTCAGAGATACCCGAAACATCGGGGAGGCCTCGGCCCACACAGTCGCCAGTGCCGCAGCCCACGTACAGACCTCATGCAGAGGGGAGTGCACAGCCCGCAGAGACCCGAGGCCCGACTTCAACGGCAAGCCGAAAGCCTGGCCCAAGCCATCAGCACCGAAGTCCAGAACATACACGACACAGCAGCGGCCATGGGGGGTGGAGACAGCAGCCGTGGTGCGAGGTGGTGGCCCAGCTCCTAGCCTTGTTCTACTCCACCGGAGCCATAGTGGATACGTGCAAGAGGGGGATAAAGAGGGCCCTCACCGACTCTAACCTCCTCGTGGACGCCATGGCCGCCATAGCGAGACAGCGCAGCCGGACAGGGAGGGGATGCAGCTCGCAACTTACTGGTGAGGAGCAAGCTCAAGACTTGAGTTATCTCTGCAGGTTGCTTGAAGCCAAGAGAATTCAACTCCATGAAACCATGCCCCCGACGGTAACCCTAGCACACTTGCAGCGAGCCGCGCAGTCCCTCCAGAGAAGGGTCACGCTCCTCACAGCCGCTCGAGACGCTGCACTTCGGGGGGATCGCGACTGGGATACGGCAAGAACTCCGAGAACTGGTGGCCCCGGCAGCGCACCTCCTGGAGCAGCGGGGGGACGCCTTCCTTCCAGACGGGGAGGCCAGTACAGCGCGAGGCAGCCACGAAACGCCAGCCCGTTCTGCTTCAGGGGGACGAGAACAGAGCCGAAAGTTGGCGGAAGCGGCAGCGCGGTTCCGCAGGGTAATGCCAACCTTGGTGGACGAGCAGGTCTCACTGGGGATGCAGCTGCTCAACGCCATAGACGCACTACAGCAATCTTCTGGGGGGGGGGGACAACGCGCTCAACACCGACGTCCTTGCCGTGGACGGGGACGAGACCGCCATGCTGGGGGGACCGGCGGCCGCGCTGCCACCCGAGCCGGAGACCGAGCCGCAGAAACCAGTTGGGGGATGGATTGGGCTCCGGGGCACGACAGCATCCCAGGCAGCCTGTCACATGACTGACAGTATGTTGGAGGCAGTGTGCGAAGCCGCAGTGCAGCCCATGCTCGAGCCGGGGGAAGCAGCCGACCTCTGCCCACAGCCTGACCTGGTCCTACCAGATGCTCCGCGACCTTTGCAGCTGAACGAGGGGGGCCAGGTGGCCGAGACCGAGCCACGAGAGACAAGGGGACTACCTGACGATGCCGGGGGAGCTCCTTCGCATAGCTGTGCAGGGGGCCACACTGAAGCGCAAGAGGGGGAGCCCTCGGCGTCACTTGCTACGACCGTGCCCTGGCACGCGTGGAGTCAGCTGTCGCCACTACCTCCACCACTGAGAGTGACCGAGCTTGCCGGGGGGGACAACACTCCCACGGCCAACAGCGATGAGGAGGAGCACAGTCTGAGTAGCGGGGATAGCCACAGGAGACGACGCCTCCACGCTATGCACTTTAAGGGTGCGCCGTAGATCAGCGCGGGGGACTCGAGATGAGGCGTCCAGCCCGAGGAAGTGAAGAATAGCTCGTTAGTTTGTACCTAAGCGCCGGCCTCAGTACCTAGGGTAGTTCTTGTGCATTAACACTTCGCTGCTCGGACAACCTCCCAAGAAGGGGGGACCCCCGCTGGTAGGTCCGTGTCGCCTGAGGAAGCTGCCGCCACCTCAATTGTTGTGCAACATGCTGTCTTTAGCCACTTTTAGGCAGCTTCAATCGGGGGATGGGGACGACAGAGTATACTAAGCCGGAAGGAACTGCTCCAGTAGAGGGGGGCCAGGTGCACGGTGTTGTCTTGCCAGTCACTGGTTGCTCTGTACGGGTTAGCCTTGTTTTTAGGTCTGCACTGCCTGAGCCACTTGGTCCTACCAGTCTGCCTAGGGGGGGGATCTCACCACCATCGTCGTGCGTTTTGGTGTTGCTTTACCGAGGCGTGAGACCCCCGGCGGGGCGTAGTGTGAACTTCGCTGTTTTGCAGGCTTGCCTTGGGGGAGTGTTTGGTTGGTTCAGGGTTCGTCCTTAGTGTGGGAGTTGCGGGCCTAGGCAGGCCGTGTGAGCCTCTTTCCGGGCTGTACAGCTGAGCCGGGAGGAGCGAACCTTCCTTCGGGGCCCTTTCCAAATCCTGGACCCACAGGTGCGCGTGCGCGTGCGGGGGGGTAGGTGCACCTCCTGCCCTCCCTGGCCTGCTAGAGAGAGAGAGAGAGAGAGAGAGAGAGAGAGAGAGAGAGACAGATAGATAGATAGATAGATAGATAGATAGATAAAAAGAACACTTGGGGGGTTTGCCTACGGGTACAGTAGGCTACGGGTACAGTAGGCTCCTCTAATGCCTTTAGCTCCTCTAACGCCGTTAGCAAGCACGCAAGATAGACAGATAGATAGATGGATTCGGGGAGATACTTTACAGGGTTCCATGTTCTGCAGGCCGTTCTTGAGGCAGGACTGCTGAAATGGAATAGCAGAAGATGCAGTACACGTACTTGTGGTTGTCGCTGTTACTACTGTCCACAACGCCCGGGCCGGCGGTGTGCCTGTTGTGCCCACCGCCGTACTTTTGCAGATGCCGCAGACATGTGCCAAGAAAATTTGATAGTATGTTAGCGTCGGTGTAAGTTGGAGTTTCGGGCTGCCAAGGTTCTGTGCACATGTTCTCCCAAGCTCCCATCGTTGTCCTTCACTTGGGAAGCCGAACCCCCGACTCCTGGACAGCCGAGCGCTTTCCACGCTTGATCGGGTCTCAGTGTCATAGCTCGCTCCAGCGAGGAATGTCGCACCCATGCTTTGTGGGCGAGGTTGCTTGTACATGCTGCACCTATGGAGCCCGATGCACACCGAAGCTTCAATTTCAACAAGTTGAGATCCTTCCTGATCTCTCGGGATGCAGCCTTAGGGGCGCTCAGCGCATTTGCAAGGTGTCCTAGTTTGTTGGTCTAGGTGTTCCACATCATCAGCAGAGAACCGAGGCCGTCACAGGCGTGGAATTGGATTCTGATCAGTTTGTGGGGCCAGGAGTTGATTACATGCCAGCTGCTTAAATGTCGTCAGTGGATGTTGTGGACATGCCTGGATGTGCGACCAACTTTTCCAGAACTTAGGTTTGATATGAGCGAAAAGGAGGGAAGGGCGATGTGGCATTTGGAATGCTCTCCACACTGTTGCACGCCCGGCCTTCGAAAGGAGATCACGCAAGAGACTCCTCTTCCAATTCTGCCGGTGCATTTCTACAGCTTCACGCAGGCTCATGCAACGTCTATGGTGTTAGCACTGACAGTTCATGCTGGTATGACCACAGAGGCGGATACGCCGAACAATGTGTGGTGGCAGCGCTACTGTCCTGACCCCCCTGTGTGCAGACTCAGCGAATCCAGGTTCGAGAAAAACACGCAATTCTACAAGTCCTGTCACGGAGGCCTGCAAGCACCACACCATGCGATGGAGCCACGCCCATCCCACATGGACTCGCGGTGGCCGAAACAGGCTGGAGCAGGAGCAGCAAACGCAACCAGTCTCCAGGACCTTCTACTCGCTGCCTTTCTTTGGACGCTGGCTCCGCCGCCACTTCAGAGACGAGACGCCCAGCTTAATAATTCCAGCAAGTGATGCCCTGGCATTGGATTCGGTGCCGTAGTAGAGCAGTAAATGAGGAAACTGCCTGCTGTGACGGACGAAGCTGGTGAATTGGCTGCCCTGGCCGTGGCCAAGATTCCAGAGGACGAGGACCTGCTGAACGTAGCGACCTGGGAAGTGGCTCTGCTTCTAGTATGGCTGTCGTAGAAGCTGATGTGGCGATTTGGCAGCACGCATGCGACGCCCGACATGTCCAGCATGTGCTAAGGAGAAGGGGCATCTGATCTCGAATGGAGCAGGGTGTTGAGAGATGGCAGGAAGAGCTTATCTGCAGTCCTTTGAAAGGTAGACCGGATCTGAGGACGAAGCAGTGGTGCAAGTTCGACAACGATTATCATGAGTTTGCTGACATGCTGAGCTGGAGCCCTCAGAATCTTGCCGTCAGCTCATGTTCAAGGACGAATCGCAAGTGATCATCTGAGTTGTCAATGCATCGACTCTCTGAGGAAGGGAGATGCAACAAGCACTGGGGACATTGCCAACGATCCAAAGTTCTACCCTCGCGGTGCAGCCAAGGTGGAAGCTATAACGCTCCTCCACAGCTTGAGAAAAACCATCTTCTTGGAAGCATCAGAGTCATGCCAGTCATGGGCCAGTCATGGGTCATCTCTCGTTGCGTCTCCCGGTCGGTGTGCGCCCGTCCGCTGTCGGCGGCCTCGGGGGTCTGCCCGGGTTCTTCGCCGAGTCCGTCCCGATGCCGATCGCTTCCTATGAGGCTTCTGCTAGCCGCGAGCCGTGTGCCTCGCACCTCTTCTCGAATTTTCCCCCCTCTTCCAATATCTCCATCTGGGGGCCTTGAACCGGACCTTCCGACCCAGCTGTTTGATTCTTGAATGGGCCAGAGGCGGTGCCCTTGCTCGTCCTCCTTACTGCCTTGCTGGACTTTGTGCCGAGAGAATTCCCCCGTCCGCTCGCGGGCTCAGCGGATGCGCTCGCCTGCTCGGGCCGTGGTCGTGTTTTCGGGAGCGGGCCTTCCGAGAATCCACCGACGTCTCAGTTTCGGGTGCATGTCCGTTTTTCGGTCAGGCCTAGCAGGCCTATCCTTTTCAGCCGTGGCACCATCATAAAGATCATTCTGGAGCTTCCATGCACTGCCACACCCATTGTGCAGGCCTTCTGGACGGCGCACAATTGCAAGGACCCAGACGCAACAGCTCCTGGCCCGGTGTGTTCAGAACTGGTGCATTTGTTTGCCTGCGTTTGCCGTTTCCGCCGATCCAAGGCCAAGATGCTTGACGTTCCTGGACGGCACATGCTCCTTTCCCAGTGCGACCTGCGTATGCTCGACGGACCAAGGAGATCGAGAAACGGTGGAAGCAGGGTCTGTACCCGACATCCACCATCACGTACCAGGGCCGCTTCTGGTCTTCGGGAGCTGCGCTCCGGGAGGCGATGGATGGCGAGGGCAGGGCTTCTGTCTTTGGTTGCGTTGTCCTTGCCAGGCCCACCCGGAGCTGCCGTGCATCTTCTAAGATGCTAGGCGAAGGAATCCGATGAGACGAGGAGAATATCACCTGAAATGTAATGTGCCATGATGACGCGAAGCAGGACTCTTTCTTGCGGCGAGGAAAAACAGCCCCCGCGCGCGTTCAGTTGAGGTCGAGACCAAGTGAAGCTGAATCGCAATTCGTGTGACGTATCCCCCGCTTGTTGAGGCTGCAGTATTAGTCAAGACAGCATGTAGTGTCCAACTAGCGCTTGGCCATAAATGCCAGACTCTGGCCGCTTGACTGCTTTTCCATGCAAATCGTTTATTGCTTCATTTGCGCGTATTTTCCCTGTGATTCGCTTTTGGTCAGGAAATGGCCCAGCCATAATGCTGATGGGCGTGATCGGCGTCGTGTGCGTTGCCGTTGCTGCCCTGGGCCGTAAAGTCAAGAAGGAACGGGAGATGGTGATTCGATTGCAGTCAGGCTTAGTCAGAGCCAGCACACGCGGCCAGCATCCACCGAGCCTAGGTCACACTGCAAGCTGAGCGTGCAGCAGAGAGAGAGGCCCGACGGCGACAAGAGGAAACTCGAGGCAAAGGCAGTGGCAGACGCGGCGGAAGGAGGTAAGATTGAAATTGTCGGACGCGATGCTCTGCGACGGCCCTGTTTCACCCGATGGCATCCGATCATTTCAGCGATGTCTAGGCCATTCGGCACTTATCATGCGGTCGTTGGGCTTGCTCCAGCCATCGCAAAAAGACGCTACCCGTTCACATTCAGGGATCCAGCTAAGCTACCCTGCTGCCATTGGATTCTGGCGTGGTCTGTGGCTCTAAATGCTTCTAGCTTGCGAGGCAAGAATTTGTAGTCGCTCGAAACAACTTCCGCCATGAGCCAGAATGAAGCGCAAAGCGAGGCAACACACTTTGTGCTTGCAAGGTGTTCGGTTTTGTTAGATGACAACGTCGGCTATGTTTATGCTACGATTGGAAACATGCCGCCTGCGAGGCAGGTGCCCATTGTGCAAGCATTAGCTTGCGGCGCTGCCGCTCGCCAAGTCGTGGATCTTGAGGATGCCGGTCGTGCCTGCAAGCTCTATCAAAGTTGTGTTGAGCCCCATCGCAGTTTGAACAGTTGCCAGGAGGCGAGCAAGGAAGAGAGCCACGCCAAGTCGTTTTGTGCTGATGTAGAGGATCCCAGCCGCAAGAAGTAAGGGGAATTCGAATTGATGAGTACTGAGTGACACAGATACAGCCCCCAGAATCCTGAATGAATTGACCATGAAAACCCTGCCCACCAGCAACGTGTAGGAGTCGCTGCGGCCGGAGGCCACGCCAGAGCACCTCGCTAATGCTGCCACATGCTGCCCGGCCTTGGTGAGTTGGCCACTCCGTCGCCTTCCCGCACAGCCTGCAACTGTGCGAACCGTGCGAGTTGGTGAAACTGGGCGAGCCGTCAGTGTTTCGGATCAGGAGCTTGCTGCCATCGCCCCGGTCCAACTCATCCGTCACGCGCTGCCACATAAGCTGGCCGACCAGCTTCTGGATTCACTCCTGCGGGAATCGGATTCCTGGAAGGCCAGCTCCTGGATCGTGCATGGGAACCAGTTCACAACTCCCCGGACATCGGCAATCTACGAGTTCGCTGCTGGCGGGCCCAGTTCGAGCGAAGATGGCTTTGGCAAGGAGGAAAGTCGAACCAGATGCGAGCCGTCTGCAACCCTTCATCGAGCAGCCGTCTTAGTCCAAAGCCTAGTTCGTGAGAGAAGGCCGTTTGCCAACTGGGTGCCTACGCTTGCTTTGGGAAACCGTTATGAAAATGGAAGGGCTTGTGTCGGTTGGCATTCGGATTTTCTCAATTCGCTTGGACCACGGCCGATCATCGTGGGTCTCTCGCTGGGATCTTGCCGTCGTTTCTGCCTGCGCCGAAGTACTGCTCCAGATTCATCACGTGATGCCAGCGAGACCATAGCGGCTTGTCAGGACAGTTTCAAGTTAGGAACTGCATGCCGTCAAGAGTCACGCAGAGTCATGCCGCCATGCTGTCAAGTTGGCAGCTCAGATTGCAAACGACAAGGTGGCTTCTATACCAATGCCTCACAACACAGCCGACAGCTCATTCGCTACTATGCGCTCTGCATGTAGATGGTCCACCAGGTTCATGTCCAGCAGCAGAGAACCGTGTCAACCGTGCTTAGCCGGCTTTGCTGATTATGACACTTGCATGTGCTCGTGTAAACATGAATTCAATTGCTACTTCCACCGTGAGGTTGTCATCATGTGGGACGATTGTCAGGAAGAGTGGCAGCACTCTGTCCCCAGACAAGCTGATTCCACTGTTGAGAAGCACGCCGTGGCAGGATCGCGAGAGTGTGGGGGTGAGATCCGTAGTACTGCGAACCCTTACGTCCTTCCGACATAATCCATCCTTCGGCCAGGCCTTGTGCGCTTGTCATTGACTTTCCGAATGTCGCGTCCAGAGCTTGCGCAGCATGGCAAATCATGTCACTGTGGTCGCTTGTCTGCATGTGGTATGATTATCACCGTTTGTGCTTCGGGGTCCAGGGCTGCTCACCTTTCCAAGGCAGGCCGAGTGCGCTTAAAAGCAAAGAAGGCGCGACGTGAGAGAGTCAGGCCGGAGAGTTTATCGGGGGCATGCCGACAGGACGGTATTACCTGGCCTGCTGCCCGATGGGGAAACTCCGCTTTTTGATATCTGCAACAGACATCTTTCACACTGACGAGCCTTTGAAGGTGTTTGCTGTAGCCACAGCCAAGGACTTCCAAACAGAGCCATGGCCGAGAGCGGTAGGAGAGGTGTTGTGAGACGTGCGACGAAGCATCACTGCATTTGTAACTACGCTGAGGTGTGGCTTTTGGGAACCTTGCTCCTGGGCACAGGAGGAGTCAGAGCGGCTGAGGCAGAAGATGAAGCTTGGGATGGAAAGCCTCGAGTTCCCGGGAACAGGAGCAGAAAGCCCCCGATGCTCTCACCGCAGGCAGCCTGGTATACAGGAGTTCTCGAACTCACGGTCCCGCAATGAAGCGAGCACGACATGGAATGCCAGATCTGGCAAACCAGATGTTGCAGACAGAGTTTCTATCGAAATTTCAGATGACGACATGTGATGAGACGCTTCGATCTCTTGCGACGCCAGCAAGCCCCGACAACCGGACAATCATGGTCCCATGAATGCATCGATTACGACGACCTCGAACATATTGCAGGGTGTTTCAAGGAGGTTGGCGAAGGACAGTCACATATTGATCACGACTGCTTGCGGCGCGGACACGACACACCACGGCTCGTCCACTGCCAATGGCAAGTCTTTCACTCCGTTTGCCAGCCTTTGGTAGTAGGGGGAGCCCTTCGAGCACTGGGGGCGACGCCAGGGTCATTTTAGAGAGGACAAGAATCTTTAGCCAAAAGAGCGCGAGCCATGTGACGCCAAGAAATAATCGTAGCTGCACCTCTGGGATTCGTCAGCATGCAGTGCCAAAGCCGAAGTTTCGTTAGAAGTCTTACCCGATGCCTTTTTCGTCCGCAGCTGTTCAAGTGGATCCTTTTTCCAGCGGGGTGCCATGGAGTGGGGTTGCCCTTGTTGTGTGGCGCTGGACTTCGAATCAGCAACAAGCGAGGATGCCAATGGGGCCGATCGGAGCCTTGGGTTTGGGCACTTGCGTCGCTCCCGGAGCTCCAAGAGAGGGCCGAGGCCTCCGCTGATGTCCCAGGCGTGCGCCTCTACGGCCCCAGCCCTTCCGGAAGACGAGCACATCGCCGAAGAAACAAGAAAGGACCGCAGGAACGTTGTTGCCGTTGGGTTGAACCGCTTCGAAGGAAGCGGCGGTTTGCAGCCACAACCCGACTGGGAGCAACTGACCGAAAGGGTAGTTTGCATACTGGCACAGAATCCGTCGTCCTTCACATTGAATGGCACCAACTGTTACTTGGTTGGTACGGGCCGTCGACGCATCTTAGTCGACACAGGAGAGCAGCATTTCGGAGCCGATGCTTTCATGCAAAACTTGAACGAATGCCTTGATGAGCTCGGAGTGGAAGGTTTAGACGGGATCGTAATTACGCACATGCACCATGATCACTACGGCAATGTCGGCCGGCTGCAGGAGAAGTACGGTCCGGTCCCTGTATATTCGCGAGAATTTTCCAGTGCATCCTTCGCGCTAATTTCAGAACTCACAAAGCGAGACCAGCTGAGATATCTGCAGGGCTTTGATGGCCGACCTAGATACAATCCACTCAAAGACAGTGCGCCGAAGGTGTTGCCCGACTCACTCGATCTGGAATGGGCGGCAGACAGAGTCAAATACATGCCAGGCAAGAACATAGCAGAGAAGCTCCAGTGGCAGTTCTATTTCGTTTGGAATTCTCAGGACCTGCTTGACCGCCTTCGCAGTGGAGAGTATCCTTGGGAAGCATTGGACACTGGAGATACTATTTCGACGGAAGGGGCGACGCTGACCGCTTTGCATATGCCGGGACATTCGGAGGACCATATGTGCTTCTTGCTTGAAGAGGAGCACTCCCTTTTTTCCGGCGACCATGTGCTGGGCTGGGGAACCACTTTCGTCGTGGAGATGAAAGATTACATGGAGTCTTTGAGGAAGATGCTTCACATGCACCCTATCAGTCTATTCCCTGGCCATGGTGGGTACATCAGAGATGGAGTTGACCTCCTTCAGCGCTACATCTCTCATAGGCAGAAGCGAGAAGAACAAGCATGGCAAGCTCTTGTAAAGCGCTCCGAGCCGGTGAGTATAGAAGAAATAGTGGGGGAGCTCTATCCAAAGACTCCTTATGATCGGATGTGGATGGCAAAAAGCAATATTGAGGTCGGGGTCATTGTCATTTTTGTGTCCCAAATCAAGAACTTCTGAAAGACCGCATCATTACAGCCCTGAGCTAATCGCTTGGAGTCAACATGTAGTCATTTATTGGTCGTGAATCATGGCTGGCGGTTGCTGTTTTCTGTCATTCGCAGTGACAGGTGCTTTTCCGCAAATTCGTGGCAGATGGTGCCGCAGCTGTGTGGAAACCTGAGATCACGTACACGGAAGCATCCCGGCTGCGAAGAATCAAGGCTTTGCCCAGTGGCTATGTCGAGCGCCGCGCAGCTGCAAGTAGGTCGTGCTTTGGGTTAATTCCAGCAGATTACATGCTCTGCAGATTGAGAGCCCCTGGCTTGTTGCCTATGCGGCTATGCAGGCAATCTTCCAGATGCGTATGTGTGGGCAGCTCGGCGTTCTATGGCCAAGCTTTGAGGGCTATGGGATCGGAGCTGCGTGATAGACCCGTGCGGTGTAGCTTGGGGTGAGTTCGCATTGTCCCGTCTAAACGGGGCTTCATCATCAAAGTATGGAGAAGAGCCTTCTCCCTCTGGGCCTGATACGCGAAGTCTCAGTGCTTTGCCCGGGGCGGCTCTTGTTACAGGAGCCGTTACCGGGCAGTTTGCATTCCCGGCAGAGCTGGGCAGGCACCATTTTCCGCCAGCTTTGCCCCTCACGCGTCGGAGATGTGAGATTGCACATCGCCTGGATGGGACGCTATGGCAGCCAGTTGGTGAGCAGCTTCTAACAACCAACCAGATGATTACGTGGTTGTCCAGCATTCTTGTTGCAGTCAAACTACACTGTGCTGCGTGCTCTCAAGCGTTTAGATAACCTAGGCAACTTGCAGTCCAGCACCAAAGAGTTGCCCAGCATTCCAAGCGTGGTGGTGTCAGTGGTCAGTGTGTATCAGTGTGTCTGCTTGGAGCAGGAAGGTTCGTTCGCTCGCCATGGCCGCGGCGCAGCCGAGCGACCTCGCTGCGGCCTGCCATGCGTCAGCTTTGCCACTTAGCTTCAGTTCCCATGTTCGGGTGAGAACAGAGGCAAACTGAAGAGAAGAAGATAGAAGAAGGTAAGATGGGGACAGTTTCGGAGATTGCTGCAACCACCTTGGAGAGTCCCAGGCTCCTCGCGCAGCATGGACAAGCTCTGCAGCAGGTACTGGCAAGCTTACAGGCCCCTGATGTGCTGTTGATTCGTGCATATCATTGGGCATGGCGGCGTCGAAAAGCTGCAAGCATGTTCGTGGTACTTCCTGTCTGCAGGCGGTCCTGGCTCAGGCTGCAAAGGCCGCTGAGGTTCGCAGGGCTCCGGTGGAGCAAACCGCCGCAAGACTCCGTCGTTTTCAGGTGCCCAGGCCAGAAAGCGACTGCAGCGCCGACCTTAATTACTCCGACCACTTGTTGCAGAGGCTTCCCTGCTCTTGCGCAGGCCTCACCTCCAGAAAGCAGGAGAAGAAGGCGGACGAGCCGCTAGAAGTTGTCGTCGAGCCAAGCCACGCAGGACCTTTGCTGTTTCGTTTTGTCATGGGTGAAGAGTCGAAGAGGCTGCCAGTGCCTCGTACCTCGAGGAGACACAGGGAAGGGATCGAAGCAAAACGGGAAGCCTGTTGAGACGACTCCTGCTGAAACCACTCCGACGGTGTCCCCACAGCGCAGCGGCTGTGAGGGCTGCGTGGCGTGTACGCCCTGTGCACCGGCTCAGCAGGCTCAGCAGCCGGTATCTTCAGGATGTTCGAGCTGCCCCCAGCAAGCAAAGGGCTGCGGCAAAGGCCGAGGACTGCTCCACAAATTCAGTCAGTCGAGCGGAAATCTAGAGTTGCGCTTGCCTGGAATTCGTGTGCACTTTGTTTGGGTAGCGAAGGATGGGCACCATGGCCCAAATTCTACGATCCGGAGCCGCGTTTTGATGGTTGGACCAG